GCGCGAGGCTCCGCAACTCCCTGGCCTCCACAACGCCTGCACGGCGTGCATGTGCAAGAGCACCCGAACGACCAGGGACCACCTCGGAGGTCACGTCGCGCAGGGAGGAACAGATGGCGCTCACCTTCCAAGTCCCACGCCTTGCCTTCTCCTCTCTCAATCTCCATGAGCTCCCAGGTAAGCTAACATTCCAACGCAGTGTGTCGCTCTGATTAGAGATGGCCGCACAAACCAAATCGAAATCGTTGGAGGGCGACTGCCCGTGTCCGCAAGCCTGGACCCCGAAGCCTATGAGAACGTACTCCCTACGAGAACGTGCTCGGAGGAGTGTGCAGTACCTTGTTGATGATGCCGACGTCCTTCTTGGCTATCCCTGGCGGGGATGGCACGAGCTGGCTAACGTACGTGATGCAGGCCACGAATCGCGTGCTGTAAACAAATGTGGACGGAGAGAGCGCACTGCGCTGACGCGCCAGCGCGGCGATAAAGTAATGATGCTGAGGATGATGATGATGGTGGTGATGGTGTTGCTGAGGTTCGCGGCGGTTTCGAAACAACCCTGGGATTCCTATTGGCTGTCGGATGCTCCCGAATGTTCTCGAAGGTTTCAAGAGGTTCTCGGAGGTGTGCAACGTTCATCGAAAGTTTCTGGAGATGGAGGAAGAAGAGGAGGATGATGAGGAGTGAACCTGCCAAAATGGCATCACCATGTGGTCACACATGAGAATATCAATAATTCTATTGCAACCGTCACTACCGTTCATGGCACAAGTCCTACAACTTCTGATTCAAATGAGACCAGCCTCCGACGCTTGCAAACACTATTCAACTCCACTGTCGCCAACCTGTTGTTATCATAATCACTGCGTTAGCGCGTGCAGCCCGAGACTTTATCCTTCGTCGCCTTCTGATCGACAATGCTACGATCGCCCGAACTCTTCATGCCACGGCGACCCCCTCTCGGCGGAAAATGGAATCGCCAAGCCTGCGGCGCCCATCGCGACCCGGGGCGTCCTGGCGGGATGGCCCGCAATCTGCGGAACCATAAATCCTGCACGTCCAACAAGGAGAAGCCAACCCGCACCTTGTGTAGGATAACAGCAAGCGCCGCACATACAATTCTTCGGAAGTTTGTATGAATTCCTCGGACCCGCGCTAGGGCCCCCTGGCGGCGCCTCCGCCGCCTCTCCTGGCGCGCGCAGCGCGCAAAGGGAGGGGGTCCAGCGCTGGGCAGTGCTCGGCTGGGCCGGGTAGGGGCTAGCACGGGCAAGCGTCTGAAGCCGCTGCTGACGGCGCACGGGGTAGTTGGGGCTAAGGAGAGGGCTTTGAATGGGCCGGTGCCAAAAACCGAGGTTGACGGCACGCCGTGCTAGTGGGACCATGCTAAGGCTGATAGAGGCCAGTATCGGGAACCGATGTCGGCGTCACACAGACCGACGTTGCCTGTGCGCAGCGATGTACTGAATTAGGGAGCCCACAAAGGACGTACGCGACCAGCTATGTACATGAACACGGCACCTCGATTCGCGAGACCAGCCGCGTTATACGAACATTTGTGCAACGCGTGCTCTCGAAACCAGCGTGGATTCATGTACATGTAAGTCCTTCTTTCGCTCCTGATGAATGGGGCTTACCATGGCTCGTTGGGACTAGTGGTGGCTTGCAGGGGCAAGCATCTTGGCACGCACGAGGCTCGCGGGGCCAACGTCGGAGACCCACTTTGACGGCGAAGGGCGCACAAAATAAGTGGGGCAAGGGTGGGCTGTTGAAGAGGAGGAGGAGGAGGAGGAGGAGGAGGAGGAGGAGGAGGAGGAGAATGAAGAGGAGGAGGAGGAGGAGGAGGAGGAGGAGGAGGAGGAGGAGGAGGAGGAGGAGGAGAAGGAGGTAAAGGGCATCACCAAGAACCGAAGCTGGCAACGCACAAATCCCGCATGGCGTTGGTCTTCGATGCCAGCAACCCGCGCCAACTGGCAGTGGCCAGGCAGAGGCTGGTGTAGAGAGCCGGCCCAGGAGCCGACCCCGGCGGGGTCGCAAGGCTGGTGGGGTCCGTGGGAGCCATCGGTATGGAGCTAGCAGCTAGTGAGGGCTAATGGCGCGGGCTAGTCGGGGCCAGAGGCAAGGGCCAATGAGGCTTCCCCCCGGAGCCAGAGACGGCGGCGCACAATGCTCACCCCTTGACCCCGAACTGGGTGCCTGGTGGGCGTCTGTGCAAGCGCTGCTTGGGGAAGTGTCTGGTGATGAAGGCTGGAGGGCACGTGGCCGAGGGGATGCACGCTCGACGTCGGCGGCATTCGGAGCGGCGGCGGCGGGGAGCACGAGTGCCTCGGGCCCCTTCCGAGGCTCCAGGTCTGGTGGAGATCGGCGCGTTCCCCCGGGACGCCTACCCCAGCATCCTGAAGATTCTGGAGCTCGGCCGGCATTTTCGCCACCGCCCATGTGCAGGGGCCGCTCCGCATGCACTCGTAAACCATGAGAAATAATGATGAGAGAACCGCCGCGTACACTGCAGGTCGCGCCAGCAACACATGAAGGATACTGTATTGAACGGCAACTGGCATGTTCATCTAAACTTGGCCTGGAACCACGAACCCGCTAGAACGAATTTGCGTACAATGGCTGGAGCACTGGCTTCTTACAATTCAAGCCTCCCCTCGGGTCAGTTCCCTAGTCAACACTGGCCCGCTTAGGAGACCCTAAATCCAAACACATTGACACCTCTTGGGGGGGCATCTTTCGCTGCCGCCACCTTCCGCCTAATGTGAGAGGTAAGCTGACAATCTCTCGAAGGCGAGGCCATTTTTGGAACGCCCTGGATAGCGTCCACATCTGCGATGACAAGGACATGCGTTCCCACAGTAGCGAGGACCATGGTCGCTCGTAGCAGCCTTCGTGCTGCATTGCGATTCACCCGCATCATGGCGCATTTCACTACTTAGGTCAATGTTCACCAGTAATGGCTCAATGACTTCGGCATCGTGGCCTTGCTTCTCGAAGTAAACGTGCTCACATGTACTCGTTTCGACTGATCGATGGGGTGGTTGTTGCATCCGGTATCGAAGCACTAGATCTCACGAGCTGGCCTCAAAAGCGTGTTCATGAGTTCATGCCAATTGCAAATGTCGGATGCTGACATCTTCCGCGGAGGGGCACATCCTGTCATGCAGGGTGCTCACTGTTCACTTGTGTGCCTTGATCAAGAAGACATGGTGTCCTGCGAGACAGGGCCAACCTATGTGCGGGGAAGCGTTAGAATATTTCTTCGTTAGCAAACGAGTGTGCCCGCCTGATTCGATTCGATCTCCATGTACGGGCCAGGGCGGATAACACAAGCGAAGGGTGATGAAACATGACGGATACCGGAAGTCAAGGAGACAAACTGCTACTCAAGCACCCGCATCTCGTAAAAGCGCCTCGGCCATCGATGTCCACCCTGACTAACTTGGATTGGTCGCCAGACGTAATCCTGGAACTGCTTGAAATCATCTTTTTCAGCCGACCGTGCTGACAAGGAAAAGCCGTGCAACTGCTAGCACAGCAGTTAGCATAAGCTCCGAGTGAATTATCTCGCAATGTCGGGCCTTTGCCCGACAAAGGCTAAGATGAAACTCTTGCGCGCGAACGCCGGTCGTTGCGAACGAGTCTGCGCACTGCCTGCTTCTCGAATCGGGACCGGCACGATCCGAACGCAGGCAACGCATGCCCTTCCGCTCGCTCTCGTGCGCGCGAGCAAGTACCATCGATCCAGCACGCAAGTGAGCGCATGGGACTTTACACGTGCCAACCTCCGACCTAGCTAACCGCCTCAAGCAACCCAAGCATTCACATAATCAAACACATAACACACATGCGCACACAAACACACACGCAAACACATCCATGCATGAATGCGCTCGCGCGCTCGCACAAGCATGTACATACACACGCTTACACACGAAACTTCTCACACACACACATTGACACTCACGTTCCCACACAAGCACGCGCGCAGCGCATGCACACACACATACATCAAACATCAGATAACACAATACACACGCGCAAGCCTCCGTGCTCGTGCCAGAGTTAAACGAAGAATTCCTCGAGTAGATTTGGCGAGCATCGCATCGTACATTGTGGTCGCCATAGCGACGTACACGTGGCTGAGGATTTTCATGGCACTGCACCTGCGTGCGTTGTTCCTCAAATCCTCAAACCTTGCTTGCACCCGAAGGACATTATTTGAATTCTAAACGATTGGCCTTGACAGTTGGATTTTCGGGTGGTTGGCTATTGGGCCCCGCGCGTAGGGCCCTGACATGAGCTGTTGGGCTTCGCGGTGCTCCAAGGTCACGCCCATAAGGTCCTGGCTGTAGCTGTCCTTTCGGGGGCGCGCAAACATGGATTAGCGATCCATGGATTTGGCGCGCGGTCGCCAAATCCACGGATCGGGGGAAGGTGCCCTCCCCAAAATGCGGCCGGTGCCGCCTCGCTCGGCGGCGGAAATCCGCGATTTCCCATGGGAACGGGACCCGTCGCTAATCCACGCCCCCTTAATCCATGTTTGCGATCGCCTGACATAGAAGGGCCGCGCGCTGGAAAGACATCTGGCCACGTGTGTACTCAGCTCTCCCCGAAGCTGGCCGCGTCACGTACATCAAGCTTCCTGGTACGGTCACCCGTGTGGTGGGTGTTGTGGTGCTTGGCCTCAGGGTCCTACTTGTTCCTGAGCATGAGGTTTCGTGGTGATTGGTCACACGGTTCCCCCACAAGGTCCAGGTCTTCGTCGCCCCTGCGTGTTGGATTCGTTGTATGACCAGAAAGTCGTGTGCATAGGGTCCCAATCTTATCCGCTGATATGTCGGCTTTGCTAGTAGTTGGCCGTACGTGGGCTCACGCCAACATGGTCTTGGCCTCCTTTTACTGTTTGGGGTCAAGGTGCCTGTATCAGGAGGACGAAGGGAAACTAACAGTGCGTGTGCAGACTTCTACGACGCGAAAATGAAACAACTACGAACGCAACCTCAATCCTTGAAGAGCGGCCTGCCCAGTTTCTGTGGCCGGAATCCCGACTCGCTTCTTGCGCTTGGCATCACCTGAGCACTGCTGGTGAGAAGGGCGGTGTGAATTTTTCCCTCCTTATCGCGATCATCGTCCTCCCTCTGCTCGCTGCTCCTCCCTCTGCTCGCTGCTCCCTCTGCTCATCCTAATCCCCCTCCTCCATCTCACCATTCTCTTCTTCCTTCGTTTCGATTCTATGTCCTTGCACATGACTCCTTCCTGTCGCTCCACCATGTCTTTCGTCAGGGCGGGCAGGGCGCTTCGCTTCAGATATCTTCACCGAGTATACTCCCGCAGCATGGACATTCCCACCACCTATACCGATGGGGGGCGGGGTACCTCTTCAAACGTGGGCTCTCGCAATGGCGCCGCGCACGCTCGCCTGGAACATTTTCACACTGGGGCTCTCCCCTGGGCGCCGCTCGCGCACATCATGAAAGAGTCCAAGCGTTACGCGCATGGAAGGCAGCACCTGTTCAAAATGGGGCTCTCGCCTGGGCGCCGCGCAATCCCGCCTGAAACAATCTAAAAGTTACACGGGTGGAAGGCAATTCCTTTTAAAATTGGGCTTTCGCCGTGGCGCCGCGCGCACCTGTCTTAAGCATTCCTAACATACACATTCACGTATCCTGGGTTTGCTCTGGCCTTCCTTCCTCGCCTCCTCCTCCTCCTCCTCCTCCTCCTCGTAAATCGCCAGTGCAAACAAAGACGGCCCTTCGTCTTCGCCTGGCCGACTCTGAATCCCTGGGTACGTGCAGCCTTTAACTTCCGCCGGGCCCCGCCAGCGAAGCCGCCATCGTTTTACTTCCGCTGGCCTCTGCAGACCTTCCGCCAAGTCTGGGCGGGGGCGGAATTTGAAATCTTGGATGCTCCGAACACGAAGCATTATCGGGGGAAGCGCGCAGCCTGGAGACAGGCCTCCGCTTAGATCTTCAAGAGAAGAAGACAAGAACCTTCGCCCGAGCTGGAAGCTCGTCCGCGAGCGCGCTCTTCGAGCTGTCCCTCTCGATCCCCCCTCTCGAGTACCAACTTCGGGCACCCCCTTTAACCTTCTCCCCCTCCTCGGTCCTTTTTCGTCCCTCCTCGTTCTCTTCCCCCTCCTCCTTCTCCTCCTCCTCCTCCTCCTCCTCTTTTCCCTGCTCCCGCCCTCTCTTCCTCCTCCTCCTCCTTCTCCTCCTCAGTCCTGCTTCTCGTCCATTCCCTCTGGCCCTCAACTCCTCTTCGACTTCCTCCTCATCCTCTTCCTCCTCCTCCTCCTCACCCATGAAATTCCTGGATCACCCAAAACCGCAGAAGTACTTCGAACGCCGGTAAAACTGGAGGGGGGACCAGCGAGAACCCATCTGCTCACCTCATCATCCCTTTCCCCGCTCCTCCTGTGCGCTCCTCGCTCCCTCTCTCCCTCTCTCTCCCCCTCTCCCTCTCTATTTTATCTCTCCCCCTCTCTATGATTTTCTGTATCCCTCTCTCTCCCTCTCTCGTTCGCTTCCTCTCGATCATTTTTCTTCTTCTCTCCTTCTCTCCTTCTCTCTCTCGATCATTTTTTGTACCTCTCTCTCTCTCTCGTTCGCTTCCTCTCCAGCCCCGGATCCGAGCCCTTGAGCACAGAGCGCGGCCACAGGTGGCCGACCCCCCCCGGGTGGTCCTTCGACATCCGCGTGGGCAGGCCGGCTGCGCCCCCTCCCGGGGCGCAGCTACGGTCGGGGCGTGGACCTCGGGAACCCGAAAGAAGGAACGAGGCCCCTTTTTTCCCAATAAGGTAAACTTCGAAAAGGGGCCCCGTGGAGGGCCCAGTCTGGAGCCAGCAGGGGCCCAAAGAGGGCCCCCCAAAGGGCGCCTATTACAGTCGGGGGCTTGACCTAAGGAACCCAAAGTAAGGAACGAGGCCCCTTTTCCCATAAGCTAAACTTCGATTTCCGATCGGAAACCTAAGGAAAACCTGGGGCAAGCTGCGAAACACTCAAGGAACGCGGAGCCCCTCCCCAACGAAAAGGGTTCCTTCTTCAGGGCCCCGACTGTATTCTGCACCACCGCCCTCCTCCTCGCGCCGCCATGTGTCCTGTGCCGCCGCGCCGGCCTCGTTCCGCGCGGCGACCGCCGCGTGGCCTTCCGCTCCAGCGACCTCTGGCGTGTCCGACTCCGGAGGGCGGCAGCTGCCTCGGTGCTGTGCTTCGCACTTCCCTACGTCGGTTTCTCACGCCCTGCGCTGCGTCGTCAGCCGGCCATCACGAGAACGCCCTTCTTCGAGTTCTCCCGTTCTTGGGGACCAACTTCTCTCTGATTCACCTGCGCACGATCCGACCGATCGACGACGACCTTCCAATGCACGAGCTTCACGCACTCCGTGTCGATCTTCGCGATGTCCGCGGTGACTTTCGGGCTCTTCGCGCCGAACTCCTACGCCCACCCCCCCCGCCGGCAAAGGTGACCCTCGTCCTCGTCGCGGCGTTCTCCATGGAGACCCTCAGGGTCACCGCGGTCACCTACGTGGAGCCCTGCGTGACCTTTGTGCCGTCCTCCATGCCGAAGCCCCGCCAACTGCCGAGCAGGGGGGCCACCGGGCCGTGACTGCAGCCCGCTTCCATGTGCCAGAGCATCGCGGCCCTGCCGACGACTGCCACTGGAACGGACCGTGGCTGCCAGGCCAACGCTATGCCCAGCCTCCACGCTGTAGTTCATGGTGGCCCTCCCCCAGAGAGCCCGCAGTAGCGCCAGCCAGCAGGGCCACCAGGCCCACGCTGCAGCCAGACCGCCCGCCGGGGTTCACTACGACCGTCCAGCCGAGTGTTCGACGACCGCCAATGGAGCCGCTCAGTTTTGCCACCAGGGCAACGCTCAGGCCAATCTGCGTGATGTCGCCCACGACGCAGCCCGTAATGACCCTCCGTGTGAGCGTCCGCTGGTTCTCAAGGACATCAGCCACGTGGGCCACCAGGCCCACGCGGCAGCCGGTCCATCCGCCGTGGTTCACTGTGACTCTCCCGCCAAGCGTCCGCCGGCCCCCGCTGTTGAAGGGGCCCTGGGACACACAAATAAATACACACAAATAAAATTGTAGTGGCCTTCGGCCAGTGCCGCCGATCCGGGGCGCTCCGACTGATGTGGTCCTTCTTCGCCTTCGTCCCTCCTCTCTTTTTCCCTCCCCTCCTCTCACTCAGCATTTATCCAGTGGCCGTCGGCCTATCCCGCCACCGTGCGTGGGTGGTGGGTCAGAGGCCTCATGGATGCTGGTTGGGATCTCGTGGTTGGCTGGGACTTCTGGGGGCCTCTTGGGCGCCTCTTGGGGCTTCTTGGGGGCCTCTTGGGCCTCTTGGGGCCACTAGAGGGCCTCTTGGGGGTCTCTTGGGAGCCTCTTGGGGCTTCTTGGGGGCCTCTTCTGCGCCCCTTGGGGCCTCTTGGAGGCCTCCTCGGAGCCTCTTGGTGCGGGAGGGGTGGTACTCGAGTTCGGAACCCCCTCGGAGGCCACGATCCTTGTGAGGGGTGTCAAAAAACGCATCCGCCGGAAACTCGCCCCCCCCCCCCCCCCCACCCCCCCTTCCCCGGCAGAGCCACCCCGGCAACCCCCCCAGAGGCTGAGGCTCAGCCTCGAGGCTGTAGCTGAGACTCCTTGAAACTCACACGCCGGATCGGCGGATATTTCAATATTTCCTATATTTTCTGGGTTTTTGTCTTCCCCCCCACTGCCCACATTTTCCCATATTTTCTGGGGAATCGACGAATAATTGTGTCTGCGTGTTTCTTCCCCTCCTGAACATCAGCCACGTGGGCCACCAAGCCCACGCGGCAGCCAGTCCATCCGCCGTGGTTCACTGTGACTCTCCCGCCAAGCGTCCGCCGGCCCCCACTGTAGCCTCCCAATGTTCTCACCAAGCCAGCACAACAAGCAGTCTCCATGTTGCCGCCCATGACCGTCCGCCGACCGCCGACGACCGCCCGCCACCGCCGGAACGACAGCCGACGACCGACTGTCGACTGCCCGACCTCTGGCGACGACGATCGACGACCGTCGCGCCGACCGTCCGCGGCCCCTCAAGGCAGCCAGCCACGTGGGCCATCAGGCCCACGCTTCAGCCAGTCCATCCGCCGTGGTTCTCTGCGACCTTCCCGCCGGATGTCCGAGTAACCCCGCTGGAACCCTGCCATCGCTCGGACGTCCATTTCCTTTTTTTTTTTGTTTGTTTCGTGCGTGGTTTTTTTTCGCCGAATGATCAAGGATGCACCTCGATGGTCCTCGCCGAAGGAAAAATGCTGAGGAACTGCTCAGTGCACCAAGCCAGCGCTGCAGCCAACCTCCGTGATGTCGCCCATGACGTAATCCGTTGCGTCCCTCCGTCTGAGTCCGCCGACTCACAGGCGCACTGGCCGCGGAGGCCACCAGGCCCACGTTGCAGCACCAGCCACGGTGGCCGCCAAGCCCGCATATCCCTTCCCAATCGCTTGACAGAGGATCCGCCAAATCACCAACGGACACCACGACGTCCGACGACGGTCCGCCGACCGCCAGGCCACAAGCCGAGCGACGACGACCCGAATGACGACCATACGCTGGCCGTCTGCTGGCCGTCCGCTGCCCAACGACGACCGTCCGACGACCGCCGACGACCGCCCGCCGACCGCCAGAACGACCACCGACGACCGACTGCCGACTGCCCGACCTCTGACGACGACGATCGTCTTCTGCCCGCGCACGCTCGCCTCCGCCTGGCACCAGCCGCCGCGACGCACCCCGACTGGACCAGACCAGCAACCACATCGCAACCACCACGGGCCCCTTCCGCCTCTCCGGTCACACTTTGCAGCGGCTCTACGCAATCCCCAGACCCCCTCCGAGCAGGCACGCAAACTGACCGATAGCTTACGCGCCGACTCCTGGAGCACCACCTCGGAGCCACTGCCGGGCATCCCTGAGAAGACCTCCGACGAGCGGCACCACCACGGCCCCCCAGAAGTGAGCCGCGTCCACATCCGCATGGTTACCCTCGGGCTGGCCACCTGGGCGCCGCTGCGAGCGTCACTCCCACGATTCGTGCTGCGC